CAGTTAAAAAGAAGGAAGAATGGCCCCCTCCCCCAGAGGTGGAGAAAAGGTAGTGGGGAGGCAAGTTCTATGGGGGGGGGGACAATTGTTCAAGACACTGAGTGCTGAGGTTCTGTGGGATGTCGGGCAGCATGGGCTTCTCCTACTCAGTAGGGTGGGGCCCCCAGCCCTGTGACAGTCCCTGCTCTCGTTCTCAGGCTGCAGCCTCCTGCACCTTCCACACTTTGCTTTGTCTTCAACAGATCCCACCTAACCGAGTAGAAAGCCTGGATTGTGACTTTGGAGTTTGTCAGATGGCGATTTAATTGCCCTTTTGCCGCTCATGAGCTCTGTGACCTTGGATAGGTCGATTGCACTCTCTGAGCCTCGGTTTCTTTGTGTAATGTGGGCAGTTCCTGGCTCAAAGGTTTATTGGGGGAATTTTTTCTGGTAGTGCATGTAAAGCCCAGTACAGTATTGGGAACTGGTCAGGGCCCCTGTCTGCTCACATCTTCACATGTTGCCTCCCCCAGAAGACCAGTAGAGGGTGCCCAGGGAGCTCTTGTTATGCCCCAGAGCTCAGTGACCCCGAGGACCGCTGCTCTCTTCTCTTGACGTCTAGAAAGCAGGCCGTGGCCAGGAAGGCTGGCATCCTGGCACCACCCCTGGCCATGTAACCTGTTTTCCTCACCTGTGAAGCTGGGAGCAGGAGTGCACAACTGCCAGGTGATCACGAGGCCTGACAGGACAGCAAAGGGCCGCCACACAGCCCCGGGATGAGGAGGTGCTGTGATGTGCCCTCCCACCTCTGCTGCTGGGAGCCCTCCATCCCCTCTTTCTCAGGGACTGAACCCAACCAGGCCAAGTGTCGATGAATTATGTGTTTCAGACTTTACTTTTTTAAAATCTAAGAAACTTTTTTTGTGTGTGTGTGAGGAAGATCAGCCCTGAGCTAACATCTGCCAATCCTCCTCTTTTTGCTGAGGAAGACTGGCCCTGGGCTAACATCCATGCCCATCTTCCTCCACTTTATGTGGGACGCCACCACAACATGGCTTGACAAGCGAGCGGCGCGTGTGTGCGCGCCTAGGATCTGAACCGGCGAACCCTGGGCCGCCGCAGTGGAGCGCGCGCACTTAACCGCTTGTGCCACCAGGCCGGCCCCTAAGAAACTTTTTTAAAATCGAAGAGATCTCCATTAATTTAGAAACTTTTAAAAAAATCTTAGAGAACCTCCATTAACTGAAATACTTAGGCCAATGAGCTGTTCTACGTTATTCGCTCCTTAATTATTAAGTCACTGAGAACTCAGACCAGGGCCTGGCATCTAGTAAGCTCTGAGTAACTGTTCGTGTGATGGAGGTAAAGTAGAAAGTCCCCGGGCCGGCCCCGTGGCTTAGCAGTTAAGTGCGTGCGCTCCGCTACTGGCAGCCCAGGTTCGGATCCCGGGCATGCACCGATGCACCGCTTCTCTGGCCATGCTGAGGCCGGGTCCCACATCCAGCAACTAGAAGGATGTGCAGCTATGACATACAACTATCTACTGGGGCTTTGGGGGGGGGGGGAAGTCCCCGTTTCCCCTATAACCCTCCTCGTAAAGGGGTTTCTAAAAGGCACAGTCCCTTTGTCCCGTAGTATTGAGGGTGTGATAACTTCCAGAATGTTTGTACCTTTGGGGATTTGGAGCACCTTATAGTCACCACACAGACCAATCCCACAACAGGTAGATGTGGCAAGTGCAGGAAGTCAGGACCCTGCACTGCGCCCAGGACATGCTCCCACAACTGTTTGCTTTGAGTTTCCTCACATCCTTTGTTTCGTTTTGCCACTTTCTCCTCAAGGCAGCTTACAGCCCCTGAGTTCTCTTGACTGGGGGTCTGGTTGATGAAGGCCCTGTCTCCGGTTGGATCGGTTGTCAGCTTTCAGTTCAGCATTGATGTTGCCCTAAAAGCTTGTGATGGTTTATGAGGAACGGTCAAGGTTACAGCAGGAGTTCAGAAAATCACTGTGGTGCCACCCTGTTTGAGGTTCGCTGTGCGGTCAGTTTAGGTCCTCACTTAGGTGTCCTCATCAGGTAGAAAGCCTGGGAGGTGGCGGCCTCTCTCTGCCTTTCCCCTTCAGCACACCCTAGATTTGGGCCCAGAGCAACTGCAGGAACTCAAGTGTGGTGACCTGGATCACGGGGTGACGGAGGAGCTGGCCTCAGACCTAGAGTAGTGCCCGGAGCCCAGGGGACCTTCTGCAGCTTCCAGCCTGGCTTCAGAGCTCTCTTGAGCTTGAAGCTTGGGAAGTGTCCTCTGTGGGGCAGTTTTTGTCACTATGCACAGGCTCTGGGGAGGCTCCCGCACCAGCTGTCACTACATCTTGGGTACAAAGGTGGGGCCACCAGGTAATGGTCTGTATGAGCTGGCCCGGGTTACTTAACCTTTCCATCTGTAAAGTGGGCATAAGTAATACCCACTTCAGTAGAACAGAAAGTCCAGAAAGAGTCCTGGAAACACAGGAATTTAGGAACATCAGAGGTCATTTCAGGTTGGTGGGGAAAACACAGTTTACTCAAGAAATGGACACTTCGCTGCCTGGAAAAAAAATAAAGTGGATCCTGACCTTAAACCTTACGTTAAGATAAATCTTTAATCAATTTGAATTTAATTGTAAAAAATGAAACTGTAAAATTACAGGAAGAAAATGTGGAAGGATTGTTTTAAAAATCTTGGCAAGGGGCGGTCTTTCTAAGCCTGACACAATTGAGAGAATCTCTGCAAGAAAAGTTGGGTGTGTTGAGGTACATACAAATAAATTTCTGCATGAACCAAGCTGACATAAAAGTCACAAGAAAAATGACAAACTGGAAAAACAAACATCTAATTCTTTTCATAGATAAAAGGTTAGTTCCCTTACTTTATAAAGAACTCCTACAAATCAAACACAGAAAAGACCAATAACTCCACAGATAAACACGCGAAGGATATGAGCAGGTAATTCCTGGAAAAGGGGCTGCGGCTGCTGCCTGTGTATGGGGCCCCGGAGCCGTGTGGACAAGAGTGTTGGGGTGAATCCTGGCTGCTTGCTTAGGTACCATGTGACCCCACAAGTTATTGACGCTCTCTGGGCCTCAGCTTCCTGAGCTGTAACATGGGGGTAACAGTGGTCCCTGTTATTAAATGGGTCAGCAAGTATAAAGCATGTGCCACATGGAGAGAGGCAGTCAGGCCTATGTGAGTGCTTGATAGATAAAATGTGAGAGGATGCTTGAGCTCTCCTGTGAGTGGGATTATCTTGGGATAAGAAATGTGCAGTGATAAGCCATTTCTCCACCATGTTGCTGACAGTGTAAGGAATCTAGTGCTCATACCATTGATGGGAGTATAAACATCTGTCAGGTCTAAATACACATACCCTTTGACTAAGCACTCTCTCTTCCTGATAACCATCCTAGAAGTGACGCATGTACAGGGGTATTCATGCAGCACTGTTTGTAAAAGCAGAAATTGGAACCAGTTGTCTTTCAACAGGGAACTGGTTAAATAATTTATCATATGTCCATAACGTGCATGATTATGCAGCTTTAAAAAAAGGCAGATCCAGGGCCGGCCCTGTGGCATAGTGGTTAAGTTTGCATGCTCCACTTCAGCGGCCCGGGGTTCGCAGGTTCGGATCCCAGGCGCGCACTGATGCACTGCTTGTCAGGCCATGCTGGTGGCGTCCCATATGAAGTAGAGGAAGATGGGCACAGGTGTTAGTTCAGGACCAGTCTTCCTCAGCAAAAAGAGGAGGATTGGCAACAGATGTTAGCTCAGGGCTCATCTTCCTCACAAAAAAAAAAAAAAAAAAAGGCAGGTCTGCATGTGCTGATGTGGCACAATCTCCTGTATATATTAAGTAGTAAGAATAAAGTGTTGAAGAACATGTACAAGAATTACATTTGAGTGAAAATGAAGTGTGCAGATGAGTGTATGTGCCCAGCTGGGCTCTGGAGGGACATCTGGGAAAGTGGTAGCAGTTGCTGCTGGGGCAGCGCTGTGGCTGAAGGACAGGGCCTTGAATTGTCTGTGTATCATAATCTGAACAAACGTATCTTGTGACATTATTATGAGTAATAAAAGACATCATAGGGGTTAGGAACAGGGAGTCCAGTCCGACTGCCTCAGATCTTAGCTCTACCACTAGATGTGTGACCTCAGGTGAGTTTCTGACTTCTGTGTGCCTCAGTTTCCTCATCTGTAAAACGAGGATTAAAACAACCTAATGCACAGGTTGTGAGTGTGAAATGGGATGGACCACGTGAAAGCTCTCAGTCCGTCACGCAGCAAGTAAGCATGCAGTGAACAGCGGCCGTCCTCCTCATTGTCACCGCCATGCTTAGCACTGAGCAGTGGTGGCTCCGTCAGCTTCTCCACCCTCAGCTGCCCTGTCGGGTTCAGTGGACGTCGGGGAGAACTGCCCCACGTGGGCTCAACTCTGACCCTCCCTCCTCGCCTGGGCAGGACAGCCTTTTTGAGACTCCTCTCCTCAAAGGAGAAGAATGAGGCTGGTTCCTTGGGTGCCTGCCCCTGCCACCAGCTGCCGTCCTGAGCTGGCTGTTACAGGCTTGGAATGATAAAAGCATATCTTTGAGGGACGTTGGGATTAGCCCACCTGTTCTCCACCTTGGATGGTTGTGGAACCTGCTCCCCAGGGAATTGCGCACACTCAGAGGTGGGCTAGGGCTTGTGCCCCTCTTGGCCCTGTCTGTCCTGGCCCAGGTTGGAGCCCCACCACTGCCCAGCTTGCCTGGGAGCTGCTCAGGCTGGAGTGGGCAGCCTGGGTGGATGCGTCTGCTGCTTACCTCAGCCTCCTGCTTACACAAGGCCTCTTGCTGCCTGGCTCACCTCCATGGGGGTCCCTGGTCTCCACTCCCCCTTGGTGCCTGTGGAGAAGGAGAAGAATTTGACGAGGGGCCACGAAAGGCTGCCCTGATGCCGTCAGGTAGCCGCCAGCCGTCAGTTCAGGGGCCCTCATGTTCTCCTTTCTGCTCTCAGGGGCCTAACGTGATGGAAGAGCAAGACCTGCGGGAGATCGGCATCAGTGACCCGCAGCACCGGCGGAAGCTGCTGCAGGCCGCGCGGTCCCTGCCCAAGGTGACCACCCACAGCTCTGCAGCCTCGGCCGCTGCCAGAGCCAGGGCCATCTCCATAACACCCCCTGGGCCTACAGGGGAGGAGCGTGGCTCTAGGGTGTGCTGATCACTGTGGGGCGTCTGCCCTTCTTCCCGGGAGCCCCAGCAGGCAGCACAGAGCCCTCTTTACTTCTTCACCACGTCCTGAGGCCCCAGAGAGTCAGCAGAGTAGTCGGGACCATGAGGACCTGATCTGGCCTCAGGAGGGCCTGCAGGCGTCTGCCTGGCACAGGAGCCTGGCCCACAGGCATGGCCTATCCTCTGGAATCCCTTTGGAGTCTCTCCTGACTCACTCGCGGCCAGGCCAGCCTGCGCTGACCGCTGGCATCAGGCCCTCCCCCAGGAAGGCATTCAGGGCAGCAGGAGAGGCACAGTCTTTCCCTGGGGGGCCAGAGGCTGGTGGGCCCAAGCCTCTCCTCCTCAGCTGTGCTGGCACTGACTCTATTGTCCCCTTGTCCCTTCCACTTGCCCAGAGCTCAGGAAGCACAAACAAGCTGGGAGGCCGACGCCTGCCTCCCGGGCACACACCGTTTTCTTGTCCCACCAGCTCCGTGACCTTGTCAGAGCACAGCAGGGGGCCTTCTGCAAACCCTCCTCCCATCTAGCCTTACCTGATAGGGCCGTCTTCCCCAGACCTGGGGTGCTCTGGGGTTCACAGATGGGGAAGCTGAGAGCAGAGCTGTGATAGAAAGGGCTGTGGGAGGGGAGGGACTCGGGATGCTGAGGACTCAGACCCACAGGGCCCCTCCTTGGCCTTGGGCGCTATCCCGTACCCACCTCGGCCTCAGTCTCTGCTGTGGTCTGTGGGCCTGGGTCCCCAGGGTCCTTGTCCTGTGAGGGCTGAGATGTCAGCCCCGCCTCCCGTCCTCACCCTACAGGTGAAGGCTCTGGGCTATGATGGGAACAGCCCCCCATCGGTGCCCTCCTGGCTGGACTCCCTGGGGCTGCAGGACTATGTCCATTCCTTCCTGTCGAGTGGCTACAGCTCCATTGACACTGTGAAGAACCTCTGGGAACTGGAGCTTGTCAACGTGAGTGCAGCCTCCACTCAGCCCTGGCCTGGCTGCTCCTGAAGCAGGAGCTTCTAGGGGCCGTCAGCCTGGCCCATGAAGGGGAGGTCTGGGAGTTAGAGGGGAGCTATAGGTCTTGTCACCACCTGACCTCCCCCCCGCCTCCCCTGCCCAGGTCCTAAAGGTTCACCTGCTTGGCCATCGAAAGCGCATCATCGCCTCCCTCGCAGACAGGCCTTACGAGGAGCCGCCCCAGAAGCCCCCGAGGTTTTCCCAGCTGAGAGTGAGTTGGGGAGGGCTGGAAAGGGGTGTGTGTGTTCTTTGTATTGTTAGGAATTAAAGAGAATTCTTTAGCAATTCTTCAGAGACAGCATGGCCTCTATAGTAGAGGAGGAAACGATCCCTCCCCTCTGTCATCAGGGCCACGTCTGCCCCTGGGCCCAGGCTGAGAGAGGAGCACAGGGAGTTGTTTTGGCTGGTTATTTATCAGTTACATGTCTCCCATCTACATCAGAGAGGCTTGAGATGGCCTGTAACAAAGGGTCCAGTATAAACAGAAGTAGAAATTACAATGTTGGGAAAAATAGGAAGACAAACATCCAATCTCCAGCCGGCTGGGTACTGTATCTGACCGTTGAATTCAGCTGTGTGTGGGGTGGCAGAACCGAGGGGCGGGCGAGGGGTCAGGACCCCCCATTTCGGGCCGTCTGACGTGAACCTGAGGCAAAGCTTGGAATGCACGCAGGACCTGGGCCCTCCCCACGTCTTCTGAGGGCAGATTCCTGCCACGGGGTGGGTAAGAGAGCCTGTGCTTTTAGAAACCTCACAGGTGCTTCATTGCTTGAGCCAAGTCATCCCTGCCTACACAGCGAGTTAGGCTCTGCAAGCCCGAGGTCAGGATGAGCTGTCTCCCCAGACCCGCGAGGCTGAGCTGCTGCTGTTGGCGGGGATGAGCCCTTGGTGGGCGCTGGGCTCTGAGCGAGGTCTCAGCCCATTTACAGCAGCCTCAGAAAGCGGGTGCTGTTTTATCCTCCTTTTATGCATGAGAAAGCTGAGGCCCAGACTGGTTCTGAGAACCAAACACACAGCCGACATTCAAGTATGAAAACTGGGGAGACTGATTCATATCCTCTGAGGGGCCTCTGGGTGCCGACTGTAGGGCTACGTGTTTTCTCGAGAAAGAGCTTTGGATTGGTCACGTGCCCCAGAGACCCACGATGGATTGTGACAGATGATTTTAAGTTTGATAAAGTGGAAAGTGCTTCCCAGCTGTATAACTGTCCCTTTTCCAGTGCCAGGCCAAGGGGTACGTTAGTGAACTGGGGGTGCTCGTCTGCAGGACCAGGTCGTCAGGGCTTCTTGGCTCCAGGAAGAATTTGGTTGCTTTGACTGTCCGCAGACTGGGCCCAGTGGCCAGTTGCCCCACAGGCTTCTATCCCAGCCTGCCATCTGCCTGATGCTCCTTGATGTTGGCCCCCGGCTCCGTGCCTGTTCTGTCTCACTGACTCTCAGGCCTGTGCTGGGCCCTAACCAGCCCCAGGCAGCTGGGCTGACACCTCCAACCCAGGGACCAGCCTGGTGGGTTCCGAGTTTCACCTGCACTTCTCCCTGCTGCAGTGCCAAGACTTGCTCTCACAGACATCGTCCCCCCTGAGCCAGAATGACTCCTGCACCGGCCGGTCCGCTGACCTGCTGCTGCCTCCTGGGGACGCGGGCAGGAGGCGGCATGACAGTCTCCATGACCCCGTGGCACCCTCCCGAGCAGAGCGCTTCAGAATCCAGGTGGGGCAGGAGGGGGGTTGCGGACAGGGGTCCCCTCATTCCTCTGGGCAGGACAGGGCCCCCAGACCCCTGCATTGCCCTGGTGCCAGCGTCGGGAGCAGGAGGAGGACACCAGCCTCCTCCCGGCATTCCCCCACAGCGGCCTGTGTCAGGTCCAGCCCCCAAGCCTCGCGTGCTGTGACTGCATGAACTCGCTCCAGCTGTTGCTGCGAGGGCCTCCCCGTGTCTCACGTGGCCTGGACTTCCCTCCTTAGAAGTTCAGATCCACCATCTCCTCTTTGACTACAGCCTCCTATACCCAGCCCCTCAGGCTATCACCCCTAGTTCTCCCACTCTTGGCTCCTTCTTGGCGCCTTTTCTTCCTTACCCCGCCTGTTCCCCAGAACCACTTTCTCTCCCCCTCCTCAACTCCACACCTTGCTGCAAAACTGCAGCCCAGATCAGACTCCATTCTTCCTGCCCTATTTCTGCAGCCCAGTGGTGGGCGCAGCCGCAAGACTCACACGTTCAGCTGCGCCACCCACCCTCACAGCCTCTGCTGGGCCCTGGGGCCACCCTGCAGCCTTGGCTATCGCACATTCCTAGCTCTCCCTCATGGGATATTGCTCTCAGTGCTCTTGGATTTATTCAAGGCTCGCCTGTCCTCCCTCCTGCCTTGCACAGACACTAGGCTTTGTCTCTTGTCCCCCATCTTGGCCTGTTAGACACAAGGTTGGCGGGTGTCCCTCGTCGCCCTCAGGGTGAACTTTAGCTCCACTCAGTGTTTTCTGTGGACTCACACTCCTCATTTCTGGCCTCTGGGGATCTCCCTCACCTTCCACAAGCACAGCCAAGAATTTTACAAGATTTAAAAAGCATGTTGTCCAGCAGTTTTAGTTGCTCTGTATTGAGAGACTTTTGCACATTGCTGGGGATAGAAGTCGTAAATGTTTCCTGAATCTTTTCCCTCCTCCCGATCCTTCTACCAGTGCCTAGTTCAGGACCCTGTCCTCTCGCACCTGGACTGCAGTGGCCTCCTCCTACCTCCTCCCCCTCCCCCCAGCCTCAAGGATCACTGGAAAATGCAACCCTAGTGACTATATCACTGCCCTCCCCACCTCAGGATCAGGTCCAGGGGTCTTGACTGGGGTGTGAGACTTGCAGGGACTTGCCTCCTATTGCCCGTCCTTCGTGCTTTGTGCTTCCCCCCATGGACTGTTGTTTTCCCCTCTGGTTTTAGTCATTTCCCGTCTCCGTTAAGACTCATCTCAGACACCACAGAGCCTTCCCGACTGAGCCTGCTCTCAGGTGGCTTAGGTCCCTGCTTCTCCGCCTTCTCTGTGGCGTAGATAGGCCTCACCTCTACCACAGTGCATTTGAATGGCTTGTCTGCCTCCTGCCCTCCCCACCCGGCCCTTGAACTCTTTGAGGTGACTGCCTTCTTTGCCCTTGGACGTGCTGACCCAGGCAGAGAGCCTGTGAGCTCCTCTGGAGCAGGAGAGCAGACCTGTGACCCCACATGTTCTACAGGAAGAGCACCGCGAGGCCAAGCTGACCCTTCGGCCCCCTAGCCTGGCTGCCCCCTATGCCCCTGTGCAGAGTTGGCAACACCAGCCGGAGAAACTCATCTTCGAGTCCTGCGGTTATGAAGCCAATGTGAGTAACCCCTGCCCTCCCAGCCTGGCCAGCCTCCTGCTTCCTGCCCTTCCTGGCCAGGCCCAGGGCTCCGATGCTGTTCTTTACTCCTCAGACACTCCCAGCACCTAGGGGGAAGGAGGGCCTCTGGGTAGGCTTAGCCAGAGGGGAAAGGGAGGGCCTCCCCAGCCAAGATTGGGGAAGGGAGTCATTGGGAGAGGGAACCACTGTGGTCCCAAATTGGTTGGGTCGCCCCTGCTGATAACGCAGACTTCCTAAGCCCAGCCACTGCTTGCTCCCATAGTATCTGGGCTCCATGTTGATCAAAGATCTGCGAGGGACAGAATCCACGCAAGACGCCTGTGCCAAGATGCGGGTAGGTTGTCCATGTGGGAAAGAGTGTGGGGATGCTGGCTAGGACAGAAGGCATAAATGGGGGCACCAGCTGCAGCCACCTGGGCTCTGCCATGCTACCTAAGGAGGGGGGGAGGCTGGGGGCTGTGGGATCCAAGGGGCTTAGCCCTGAAAAGGGGCATTCACAGGGCCACCTCTTATTTCCTGTAGAAATCCACTGAGCACATGAAGAAGATCCCCACCATCATCCTGTCTATCACGTACAAAGGTGTCAAGTTCATCGATGCCTCCAACAAGGTGTGCTTCTCACAAGCACTGTTGGCGGGAAAGGACCCCTCTCCCCATCCCCCCGCCAGCTGAGTATCTTCCCCAGAGTGTCCCTTCCCACCTCCTAGCCCAGGTGCTTGTCTCGCACATATCCTGAGCCCGGGGCCCTGACCTAGAGACAGCCGCAGCTCATCGTCCTCAGCGTGGGTTCCATCGGGCCCACTTACCTGCTCACAGGCCTTTAATAAGCAAAGGACTCCCCTAGGCCCCATATTTGGGCCCCCACCCTCCTGATCTCCTTCCCTCCTTGTCCTCCCCTGGAGGGCAGAAGGCACTGGAGAGCTGGTAGCTGGATGTGAACATTTTACTCCCTCAGTTGCCATGGTCAAGGGTCGGGACCCCAAACCTAAATCAGGCAAGGTTAGACCCTGCCCCTCACTCCCACCAAAACAAAAAACAGTAGTAGTGTTTGGCTGATGCCCTGGGCTGGAACAAAGAAAGGTGGTGATGGTGAATGGGCTAAGTTGTGCCCTGAGGGAGCCCGAGAATTCCAGACCCTGCTTTCCCCAGCAGAACATCATCGCGGAGCATGAGATCCGGAACATTTCCTGTGCGGCCCAGGACCCAGAGGACCTCTGTACCTTTGCCTACATCACCAAGGACCTGCAGACCAGCCACCACTACTGCCATGTCTTCAGCACAGTGGATGTGGTGGGTGGAGTCCTGCAGCTGGGCACAGCTGGAGGGGGCCCTGCATTGAGATGGCTGTAGTGTAGTCCTGTCCTGGTACCTGGTTGGCACTTAGCAAATGTTTGGTTCATAAGTGAAGCCCCAGCAGTCACCCAGTCCAGTCCTTTATACAGCAATGAGACTGAAGCACGGAGGAGAACAAGTGGCCAGTCCACGGTTCTAGTAACAGAGGTTTTCCTGCTTCTAGCTGAGTGTTTGTTAGGTCAGCCAAGGCCCTTGTCTCCCTTAGACTATTTGTCAACCTACTACCCTAACTCCCCAACCCCTGAGCTGGGCAGTCTCCCTGAAATGCCCTTTACCTCCCTCTTGGGGGCAGCAGTGCCCTCCTGGCAATAGATTTTCTTTCAGATTCCTGCTCAGGCTGGGCTCTGGAGCCACTGGGCAGAGGGGAGCTGTCACACATGCTGCCCACAGACTGTGGGCAAGCAAAGACGACAGCTGGTGCAGCAGGGACTCCCTCTGCCCTGAGACAGGGCCCCAGGCCATCTCCTCACCCCCAGACTTTTGTCCAGGTCCCTGTAGCCCTCAGGGAGAGTAGCTAGTTCCCAAATCTCTGTGGCTGCTGGAACATAGAGGGCTCAGGCATTCCTGGCCCCGGGACCACAGTGCTGGCTCTGGGCCTGGCATCAACTGGCTCTGCCACTTGCTAGCTGTGTGACCTTAGAAACTTCACCTCTCCCTGGCTCCTCATCTGTCAAGGGGATATAATGTGACCAACCTCGCAGGATTGTTTTGAAGATTAAGTGAGGGAACCCACCCACTACTTGTCATTCCTGGCACTTTTACCTGTAGCTGATATTTTCCACGTCAGTCAGTTCTGCTGTAACACAGAGTATGTGCTCCTAAAAATGGCCGTGCGATGCAAACCCACATATAACACCAGGGTCTACAGGGAGGGGCGGCTGGGGCCCAGCACTTGGCGACTTTGTCAGTGACACGTTAAAAAAGAGACGGGAACCAATAAACACACTAGCACTGTCTTATTCATATTAAATGGTTAAGAAATATATAAATACTGTAATAAACATGGCACTCGACCTTGAGAGAGACTTGAAATTGGTTGTGGGCGTGCGCCTGCACTCCCGCCAGCCTGTGTGCGAGAGGAAGAGAACGAGAGAGAGCTAGAAAGAGAGAAACAGAACAGAGAGGAGCACTACAGAATAGAGGGACAGGAAAGGGGCAGGGTGCGGGGCCACACAGTCGGGTGGCCCTTGGAAGGGTTGCAGCTAGTGCGTTATCGTGATGCGGTGGAATCCAGTGGAAAGTTGAGATACCAGGTGTGGCTGGGTGGCTCACTGTCCTCTGACTGGTCATGTTGTATGTATTCCCAGGTGACTTGGTCAGCTGGGTGCAGTTGTTGCATTCACCTGGTGTTTCTCTCTGACAAAATCATGCAAGAGGAAACACAAAATGTGTGTTATGCTCAGAATGTTCCCTAATGTATCAGTCATCTTGGGACAAACTTGTGTTTTCAAAACAAATGTTCTAGCAGAATGGACTGTACTCGTTACCTGTCTTGCCTGTGCTCAGGGGTGTAAGGCCAGGGCAGGTTTAGAGAAGAGGATGAGGTGGCTCCTCAGTCCCACGTGCTTAAGTTGTGCTCTGTTTCCTCCCAGAACCTGACCTACGAGATCATCCTGACGCTGGGGCAGGCATTCGAGGTGGCCTATCAGCTGGCCCTGCAGGCTCAGAAGTCCAGGCCCGTGGTGGCCTCTGCAGCTGAGATGATTGAAACAAAATCTTCCAAACCGGTGCCTAAGCCTCGGGTCGGCATGAGGAAGTCAGCAGTACGTGGGCCCCAGTCGCCAAGATTCCCCATCCCCCTGATCCTGGGATTTGAGGGCGTGGGGTGGAGCCAGGCACAAAGAGGGTCTTCTCACACTTCAGACAGCTGGCCCCTCAGGAAACAGCCCTGTTAATTAGGTGCCTGCCATGGAGGTCCTCACCCAGGAGGGCAGCAGCCCTCTAAGCTGAAGTGGGCAGCTGCTCATCCCTGGGCTGCCTGCTCCCTCCCTTGCCAGGCTCCCCAGGGCCTCGGCATCACGGGGCTGCAGAGAGCACAGCCTGCAGGCAAGCCCCCGGTAACGTCGCCCCGTGTCTGTGTCTGCTTTGCTCTGCACCCTAGGTGCCGCTGTCCCCTGATAGTCGCTGTTGTTACTGTCACACCTGCACCACCCATCGTCCTTCTTACCTACCGCTGTCGTCTGTTAGTCCTGGAGTCAAGGTCTTTACACCACCTGCTGTCTGTGTGTCAGTCTCCCCGAAGCGACCGTGAGCTTTCTGAGACTCTCGTGGCCTCTCCCTCTCTGCCTGCGTGACATTCTTTCCTGAGCTGCCCTCCTGCCATTCCTGTGTGTGCTTTAGTTTTCTGTTTTTCTGCTGTGTGTCCTCCTCTTCCCAGAGGTCTGGGGCATCCGCTGTGGTCTTGCCCAGGGTGCGCTCTCTGGCCCTGCCAGAGGGACCTGAGGCTTGGAGTTTCCAAACCCCTGACCCCCTTCTTGCCACTGTGAACAGGTTTGGGGCTTAGAGCATGATGCTTAGGCAGGGCAGGGCTCCTTTAACTGAGCTGCTCCAAGAAATCTCTGGGGGAAGTTGCCCCTGGTAAGGCCCAGAGGCGGCCCTCCCATGATGCTCCAGGGAGGGTGTCACTTCTGTCACCCCACCCCCAGAGAGCTTGCTCTTTGGCTAAGGAGAACAAGGGCTGCCCATCCTGGGATACTGACACCAGCATGGCCTGGTGGGGGGTGGAAGGGAAAGCTGGGCCCTCTTGCCCCCTGACAGGCACAACATTCCCTGACTCTCCACCCTTCTTCCTTGGCAGCTGGAACCACCCGATATGGACCCAGATGCCCAGTCCCATGCCAGTGTTTCCTGGGTTGTGGACCCCAAACCAGACTCTAAGCGGAGCCTCAGCACCAAGTATGAGACCACTATCTTCTAACCACCCGCTCCCTGTCTCACTGTGCCTTGCCATCCGATCTTGCTGCTGTTCTCAACTCTCCTTCCAGCTGCTGACGCCAAGGCCCCACCCCCAATGGGACTGCTTTCCTCCTGGGCAGCAGCTCTAGACACTGCACACTCACAGCTTGTACCTAACACCACCGGACACTGTGAATTACCCCCTTGGGCGAGGACAGCTTGGGGGGGTGAGTTGCCTCTGAGGTGGGCTCCAGGGGGGCTAACGGGGCCCCGTTGCTCCCAGGAAGCCTCAGCGGGCAGGCACTGTGAATCCTGAGGGTAGGGCAGTCTTCGAGCAGAGTCCAAACAGCACCAGTGGCAGCTCCCTGGGCTCCCTGCCGGCTCTCCTCTCCTGTCTCCTATGCTGAGCCACAACTGGGTGCCGCTGCCAAGAGCTAGCTGTCTGCACCTTTCCTGACACAACCAACCACTGTGACACCTGGTGCCAGAATCCCCTTGCACTCCGCTCACAGCTGGCCTGCAGCCGTCCCTTTCTCCTCTGCTCTAAGGTGCTGGCCTCCCCCTGTGAGACCCTGAGCTCAGCGATGTGGCTTGACCAGGGTCAGACTGCTTTCTGTGAGGGCCCAGGGTCTGTGCCAGGCCCTTGGGCACGTGCCTGACTCCAAAGCATGGGGCTCTGAGCATCTGAACACCCATAGGCTGGCTTCACTCTGCTGGTTTCTTGATCCTAATGGGTCTTCCACTCTAAGGAATGGGATGGCATGTATGTGGTCAGCCCCTCATGTCTTCGCCAGTGAGTCACAAGGCTGGCTCTGGAGTCTAGCTCACCGAGGAGGAAGGCCTTCCTGTAGGACCCAGCAAGAGGGAGGCCTGTGCCCTGCACACACGGTACACCTTTCCTCATAGAACAGAGCTGCTCGAGGACAGGGACCTGGACTGAGCAACTTCCATTGTCCTCCAGGAACTTTCTGACACTTCTCCACAGTGTGGGGATCAAAGATAGTCAGCCATCACCCAGTCCCTTCCCTGATCAGCTGCCCTCAGCCTCTCAACTCCTCTGAGAGGGCAGGCTGTGCACTCTGTCACCTCAAAGCAGTTCAGCAGCTGGGATCTTGGAGTTGAGGCCTTGAAGAAGCCCCACGTTTTCTGGTGTGGGCATAGCAGCTTAGAAGGCAGGAGACAGGAAGGCAGCAGTTCTGGTATGAACCAGTGCAAACATAGCATAGTCCAGTAGAAAAGCCAGTAAGTTGCAACAAATACTTGCGAGTTGAAATCCAAGGTGATTAACCAGGGTGGGTGCTCCTGCCTGTCCTTGTGCCTTCTCGAGCAGACGCACTGAGCCAGAGGCGGCAGTGAGCCATGGGCGCTCGGAGCAGGCCACGGAGGGCGCTCAGGGGAGGCTGTGAGGGACTTCTGTCTGTTTCCAAGTTTCCTCTCAGTTTCCTCCACCTTGTGCAGGCCCCTTTGGTTAACCCTTTCCTCCCCCCATTGTGTTTGCTTCTGCCAAGCTGAGCCACTGAGGAACCAACTGTGCTGCGGAAATACAGACATGGGAGCACAGGCCCCCACCGCTGCCACCACCACCACTGTCTCACCTGCAGCTTTGAAGACCCAGGCCCAGCCTCTGCCCATAGGACCTCCTCTCGGCTGCTTGGCCTGGACCTGCCACCACCAGGTCTTACAGAGCAAGCCTTGCCCTGGCTGCAGAGAAGCACTCCAGGCCTCTAGCAGATGAGACTGGAACTCCAGAGGGTCAAGAAGTGACTTGTCCAGAACATATTTTTAATAGAAAAAAATTTTTTTTTATAAAATGAACTTTTAACACTCAGCTCAAACCTCTAGGTTAAACTGCCAATCTTTAGACAAATGGCCATAGGGTCAGAGGACAGGGGACCTGAGATGGGCTAAGAGGTCAGTCTATCCAGCCCCTGTGTCCATGGGATGGGCTCTTGGCGTGGTCTGGTAGGTCTGAAGAGAAGGCAGTGGCCTGCGGTGAATTAAAAGCAGCAGGTGCAAGGGGCAAAACTGAGTAGGTTTGTTAGAGCCTGCTTTTCAAACCCATCCAAGTTAGTTGTTGTTCTTATGAACAGCACAACTTCTTGTCCCTGTCTAGAGCTGACACAGCTTTACAGCAGTAAGAACACAGCCTTAGAGGCACCTGGCAAAAGCAAAGCCTTCCGGTCCATTTCTGGGGTTCCAAATGTGAAGGTCCAGGGGCCAAATGGAGATGAGCGACCAGCTCCTGGTGCCATGAAGTCTGAGCCAGTGCCTGGAGCTCTGGGTTGCTCGCTGGGCTCTGGCCTGCCAGTGGTCAGAGCACTGCCCTGGGCGCTCTGGTGACCTCAGACTGCCTGAGTCGAGTCAGGAAGGAGGAAAAGCAGCTTTGTTTTGGGCATTAATGGGTAGGTTAGCTAAGATTGCTGCCTGCCAATCTGTGATGTCTCTAATCAGGTCTGTGTGTTCAGGACTCATTTTGATTCTCTGAATTATTGGTTTGACTGTTGTATTTTCAGCTGCTGAGCTCATCCCTGGCTCTAAGTCTAGAGAAGGCTAAATAAGGTGACAGTCAATTTGATTCTCCCCTAGTGTGGCCTTCAGGGCAGGCTGGCGTCCTGGTGCACCACTGCCGCTTAAGCCCTCTTGCTGGCTTGCTTTGCTTTTTTAACTTAGGTTTCAAAGTTTTTTAACTTTGGTTCCTCCCCCTAGAGTATAATAGAAACAAAAGGACTAATTCCTGTGAGGCTGAGCCAGGTCAGCTGCTTGTCCAGTACCTTCCAGAGTAGGGAGCAGAGAGGAGCGTTTCCTCCTGTGGGTCACTCAGCAGACCCAGGCCTTGCTGGCATGTGCAGTCTGGTCCCAGGATCAGTGTTCCAGGCTTTGACAGCACGTCTCTTTCCCAGCAAAGGTTGTGAATTGAAATTCTCTGCTGGTGTGTATGTGCGGGGAGAGTGCTCTTGGGCACACTCACAACCCCAGTGGTTGGCCAGAATTTGAAAGCAGGGCTGTGTCTTCCTCCTGCCTTGAGGCAGGACCCTGTGGGTTTCCTCTCTGCCGAGCTGCCCAGCACTGCAGACCCTGGGAGTCACCACCCTCTGGAGTAGAGGCAGCTGATCCTCCACTTCTCGGTACTAAACAAGGACCTCCACCCCTGGAAGTTCGACTTCACCTTCTGCTTCTTCCAGGGCCCGGGAGGATTCCCGTCAGCCCCTGCTTTCTCCCAGCACTCACAAGGAAGCGTGAGGGGGCGGGTCACTGGTGCTGCGCCTGCTGCAGTGCTCGTGCTGGTACCCTTCCTCCCTCCCTTCCTCCTGAGGAGGGCTGGGTCTCGTTGAGGTAGGCCCCTCTTGGTAGGTGGCAGGTCCCAAAGGAAAACTGTGTAGACACTACAATGAGCTCCTCAAGCTGTCTTTTTGTTTTCATTTTTGTCATATGTAGGTGTTCCTCCCCTTGAAGCTGCTATATCTTCTTTATTTATTCAGGGTGTTTTCATATTGGAAAGCCTTGGCTAGTCTGCTCTGGCTCTGCATTTTGCTTTGAGATTGGTTTATTTCTGGATAGTCAAGAAGGGAAAGGACTGAGTCTTTCTTTTTCACTCCTCCTCCAGGGCAGGTACTGTCCCTTCTCTAGAAAGGACTATTATAACTTCAAGGACAGGTGTCAAGTGGCAGAGCCCCACTTCTGCATGTCTGAGTGTGGGCCACGCAGTGTGGCAGCCCTGTCGTTGCGTTTCTGAATCGTGCAGGAGCCTGTGTAGGCGAGACTTGAAATGGGGTCAGCACCTGTCCCGGCCGCAGGCTCTCTGCTCGCCTCCTTTCTGCTCACCAGCCACTCTGGGCAGGAGGACTTCCCTCCTGACAGGCTCTTCATCTGTTACGCCTCCACATCCCTCTTGGGCTTCGGCCTCAGATCTGGGGGGAGTTCCTGAGAAGCCTCAGGGTGAGCAGGCAGCAAGCATAGTTGCAGTCGTCACATTAGAAAGCTAGTCGGAGCTCTGTCAGTTTTTGAGATGCCCAAGCCTGCAGAAGGACTGTCAGATGCAGTTCACAGAAGTGTTGTTGCTAATGGTGTGGCAATGGGACTGAATTGTAATAAAAATGTTATTTAATCTTTGTATTTTGATACTTGAATGACTTCCCCTTTTATTTTACTGTACATATAATTGTTAATCTGTCCGATCTTGTCCAAATTACAGACATCTTGTGGTACCAAACATAACCAATCTGTGCAACAACATAGACTGACCTCACTACGTGAGCGAGAGTGTAAATATTCCTGGGCTTCCAGCTTTGGTTTTGTTATTTTCATAACTGTACAACCTAGAACAGACTGAATTAATAAATGAGAAGCGACATGAAACCAGCCTTACTTTTTGGAGTCTTTTAATTGGAAGGTTTCTTGATTTCTGGCAGAAGTGCAGGTACAGGCTTGGCGCTGGCTCTGGGTCGGGGTGAGTGTCCTGCTCCGCTTGGCTGGGATGAGTCTGGGGCTTCTGCTCTGTGTAGCAGTCTTCAGCAGGAGGGATTGTCCGAGTTAACCTGTTTAGGGGCAAGGGGCCACATTCTGGTTATCGCTACCGCTCCTCTGCCTCCTGGTCTGGGCTGGTCAACCCACAGACATTTACTGAACGTCTGTGTACACAGCAGCGTGGGGGATCGAGCGACGTGGGAGAAAAGTGTCTCCTTTAAGGACCTTAGTTTGATTGTGGAGGTTGGTTAAGTCTCAAAAATACACAGCTAGCTACCAGCCCAAAGCCATGCTGCGAGTCCTCCAGGACAGTCCCAGGGCTGTGGGGATCCAGAGGGATGGAGTGCTCCCAGAGCCGGGTGGCGGGAGGGGGGGCGGGGGGGAGGCACAAATGACACTAGTGACCCCTTCACTGATTGAGCACCTGTGTTCCAAACCTGCTAGCAGCTTTGTCTCACTAGGCATTTGTCTCATGCCTAGTGTCTCAGCTAGGCATTTGTCTCACTAACCCTCACACCTTTCTGGGTAAGTATTCTCTCCACTTATAGAGAAGGAAACTGAGGCTCAGAAAGGTTAAAACACCTGCCTAGGGCCAGCTGGAGGAGACCTTAGAAACTGTCTAGTCCAGTGGCTTCAAGCTGTCCTCAGAGCCCCTGATCCCATGCCTGCTTCAACCCGAGGTGCCTAACACTGAACACTCTTATTCATGAGTTTCTGTGAAATACTCAATTTGTTAAAGGGTTTTAGAAGAGAATCACTGATCTAATCTAATAGCCCAATTGTATGTATGTAGAAAACAGGGTTCACCATCCTCACCCCACCTTGCTCCCTGGCTTTGGCACCTCTTTTCTGTGCAGAAAAACCTTACAGCCAGAAGAGAAGGGTCTGGTCATAATTAGTGTCACTGTTCCTCTGGAACAGGGTACCAGGACACATTGCCACTATCATAATCCCTTTTGGTGCCACTCAGAAGCCTTACTGTTGACTCTTATTCTGCCTAACCCCAGAACGCAGTGCTGATTGTGCCTCGGGGGACTGATGGGTGGAGAGAGACAGACCAAGTCACACGGGGCACCCAGGCCTGCCATTGTGAGCCACAGGGAGTGCTACACCTGGCCAAATGGGAACCAGAGTTAAGAGAAGGGAGAGAATGGAAGGACTGGGAGGAGGAATGGGTTGGGGCAGCTTCAAAGAAGGGATGGATGGGATACAACTGCATCCATCCGCCCTGTCTCCACCCCTTACCTTTTCCCATGCCCTCTGACTCACTTTAGTCAGTGGTCTACAAACTGGTCTCCTCAGGACATGGAGGCAGAAAGAGCTATCAGGAGTCGGGCACTGCCTTTTGCTCTTGTGTCTTAGAGTGCAGCATGAGGTGGACCCTCACAAGGCCTCTTCTGTGTGCTGCTCTCTTGTCCCCATCAGGGGCACATTTCTGTCACACTCCCCCATGTCCTCACCAGTCCCCCCTTCACAGATGTTCTGTGGTCCAGGCGCCCAGGTAGCTGGGGCATTACCACTGTCGGCTGAGGCCGATTACCATTCAGCAGGGACCAGGCTACTGAGGAGGCAGAACTTTGCAAACCGGAACACTTTCCAGGGCAGCTCACAACACCCTCGTCAGCCTTGGCCACCTCTGGCTTCCTACACCTAGTGGGTATCTAGGTGCCACCTGAATCCCAGCAGACAGGGACAGGCAGACTTTTCAGAATGTCATGCACTTCAAACCGTGTGGCTCACACAGCACAGCTGTCGTCAACTAACATCCAAGGAGACCAGAGGTTTCACTATCCGTTGCTCACGGCAGCCTCTAGGACTCTGACTGCTGCTGTCAGGACTCAGCTGTTAGGAACACTATTATAAACAAGCATTTACCAAATTAAAGAATTTCCCTTGGGCCGGCCCCGTGGCTTAGCGGTTAAGTGCGTGCGCTCCGCTGCCGGCGGCCCGGGTTTGGATCCCGGGTGCGCACCGAGGCACCACTCCTCCAGCCATGCTGAGGCCGCGTCCCACATACAGCAACTAGAAGGATGTGCAGCTATGACAGACAACTATGTACTGGGGCTTTGGGGGAAAAATAAATAAATAAAATCTTTAAAAAAAAAGAATTTCCCTAACACCATAAAATATTTATTATCCAGTAAATGGAGCTGGGACAACTGGGTAGCCATGGGGGGGATGGGAACGGTGTAGGGCGAGTCCTATTCCTACTTACACTAAAATAAATTCCAGATGGCTCACATACTTAAGTGTAAAAAAAAATTAAACCCCAACAAAGCTAGAAGAAAATGGGAGACTTTTTTTTTTTCATAATCTTGGTATGAGAAAGGCCTTTCCAAGCATGTTACAAAACTCTGGATCCATTTCTTTAAAGATTAATATATTTGACTATATAAAAATCAAACATTTCTGCATAGTAAAATACACCATTAAAAAAAAGAAACAATTTAAAATAATGTTTGCACCACATGTAACAAAGCACAGCTTGATAATAGCTATCAAAAAAAAGTACACTGGAGGGGCCAGCCCTGTGGCATAGCGGTTAAGTTCGCAGGCTCTGCTTCAGCGGCCTGGGGTTCGCAGGTTCAGGTCCTGGGCGCGGACCTAGGCACTGCTCATTAAGCCGTGCTGTGGCAGGTGTCCCATATCAAGTAGAGGAAGATGGGCATGGATGTTAGCCCAGGGCCAGTCTTCCTCCGCAAAAAGAGGATGATTGCCAACGGATGTTAGCTCAGGGCTAATCTTCACAAAAAAAAGTACACTGGACCTTCTGCTTCCAGAAAGATCAAGTAGACGTACCTACTTGTCCCCATTCTTCTCGCTGGGTACAAGAAAACCCCTGGCAGAAACCAATGGGCACAGACAAAGCCCAAACAAAAGCCTGCTCTCTGTAGCCAAAGGACTGGAAAAGGGGCAGCCTAGCAAGACAGAAAGATTTTACACACTAACCACTCTACTCCATCCAAATGCCACAGGAAAACAAAATGGTGACCCCACCACTACCTAGGCCAGCCAAAGGTGAAGTGGGGAGCCTAGACTTCCGCCCTCACCATGCTGTAATGCCCTCACCCAACACTCCCATTGGGGTGCTGTCAGAGGAGGCCTGGTGGAGAGAACTCTCACCATTGCCCGGCAGTAACAAGGCTGCTCCTGAAAAATACAAGAACCAAAATTAAAATCTCAGTGGATGGGCTCAACAGCAGAATGGATAGGAAAGAGACAGAACCCAAAAACTGGAAGATAGAACACTAGAAATTACCCACTTGTAACAACAGAAAGAGAAATTGATTGAAAAAAAAATGGAGCAAGTCTCAGGGACCTGCGGGATTATAACAAAAGATCAAACATTTGTGTCAGTGGAGTCGCAGAAAGAGAGGAGAAAGAGAGTGGGGCTGAAAAAGTACTCCACAAAATAATGGCTGAAAACTTACCAAATTTGGCAAGATATGTAAACCTACAGATTCAAGAAGCTAAGCATACCCCAAACCAGATGA